CAGAGGGCTGGGGGTATGGGGGTGCAGGGCAGAAGGCTGGGTGTGTGGGGGGGTTCAGGGCAGAGGGCTGGGGGTGTGGGGGGTCAGGGCAGAGGGCTAGGGTGCTTGGCTCGTGGGGGTGCTCCCAGCCTCCTGCCCTGAGCGGCTCATGGCAGGGGGCTGGAAGGGATATGCCCTGTTCCATCCCCTTCCCCCAGGCTCCGTCCCTACCTCTCTCTGCCTCCTCTACGGAGCTGTGTGCATGCTGCCGCTCTTCCCCGCCCCCACTAGGGCCATCAGCTGATTGGCCAGGGAAGGAGAGGAGGCGGGGCAGGAAAGCACTGCTGGGGGAAGAAGCGGGGGAGGGGGGAAGCTTGGCTGCCGCAGAACCAAGCTTCTGCCTCCTGCCCCCGCAGGGGAGAGCGGTGGGCCGGGGGGGGGCTGAGGGCCGGGACCGCGTCAGGGGAGCTGCGTGCCACTCAAAATCGGCTCGCGTGCCATGTTTGACACGTGTGCTGTAGGTTGCCGACCCCTGCACTAGAGATTCAACTATAAGAGAATGTCATCCGTTACAAAGGGACCCTTCTCAATGAAATCCAAGCCAGCACCACTCATCTCCAAGCAGCGATAGAGAATTTCCAGGTGGAAATGCTTTGTAGAGGCTGAAGATAATATCCGCCGTCAGCTACACAGAAAATTCATTTGGGGCCCTATTCTACTACCCTTACTCACGTTGAGTAGTACCTCACTCTGCAGTTATTCTCACTGGAATAGACTGAGCGTATTGCTGCTTACAGATCAATGGTGTAGGCCCTTAGTGATACAGTACTAATTTCCACTGGGCTGATAAGGCTGCCAACATGTGGCTTCCTACCATTACCTGAGGCGTAATCTGTGGCTGCATGCCTGCCCTCATACTGATGCCGACCGGAGAATTTGCTGCAAACTGGTTCAGGATCGCCTGCCGATTTTGGTGTATCAGCTGGAGGAGGAGGAAATCAGAAAGACCTTACAGCTCTACACCTGTTTTGGTCAGGTACAGAACATCTACAGACCCACCAACGGCAACTGGCTTCCAATAGCATTTTTCTTCCTTACGTTTGTCCTCCCTACCTATCTGAGAAGCAGGTAATTCATTTAAAGGGACTTTTACTAGTTTCCCCACAATCTCTTCTAACTACAAAATGGCAACACAGCACTTTCCTTGACGTTATTCCTGGTGCACATCCTTCTGCTGCTCTAGTACAGTGGGGCATCCTAATGACAGAGCTTGTGGGATGGGCTGGCCCCACATAAGGAGAAGTGCTGCGCAAAACCCAGTGTGTGGCAGTTCACAGACTTCTGTAACCTGCACAGCACAGCTGGAGGGGAAGAGGTTGACGGCTGGGCAGCTCTAGCTGAGAGTTCTGGATTCCCCATAAAACCAAAGTGAGTAGTCACCTGCTGCTGCCCTTGTAGCCGCTGCTGCAGCTGAAGTCTCAGCTGGTTGGGAGCGGTCGGTGGCCTGTTTAGAGTCTGCCGTGGCTGCATTCCCATGTTGGTGGGGAAAGCCCCTCGGGGCGGTGGTACCTGAACCGGCATGGGCCCGAAAGAGGGTTTCTGCCTGACCATGCCTTGGAAAGGGCTGGGGAGATTAGCAGTCGGAGAAGCAGAAGAATAAGGCTGGGGGTAGAGGCCAGGCTTCTGATCCATTAGAAGAGAGGGTGTCGCTTGCTGTGGCTGGAATCTGTCAGTCAGCACTTCCAGGCTGCCTCCCTGTTTAAAAAGGGGGACAAAAGTGAGACCCCTTCTTAACTGACAAAAATTCCAGCAGAGTTTCTAACACACAAAGCAACGGCCATGTGTTCCACTTCTCACAGAAGGCGGCAAACCCCAACTCAAAGGGCCCAACCTTCACTTCTCAGGCTCCTCAAGCATAGGCCAGAATGGACTGCTCTTAGGATTAACCCAACGGCTGGCCCTGGCATTCACTACACTGGTACAGCCGACCACACTCCAGCCTGCTTGAGTCTAGTCATTGGGAATGTCCCAAAAAGCAACTGCAGGAGAACCATTAGTACCTCACTCCTCAGGGCCAGAGGCCTTAAAAACCTTCACAAGGAAAAGGACTTTTTGCTTGGCCATGAACAAAGGCCACAATTTTCAGAAGGGCTCAGCACATGAAGTTGGGTCCAGATTTTCCAGGGAGCTCATCTCCCACTGTTGTCAAGGGGAGGGGAGGAAGGGGCAGGAGATTCTTTGTTGTTCTCAGGAGTGGTGGTGCGGGGGGAGGGGGGGGGTAACTCTCGATGGTCTGCATTAGGAGCTGAGCTGTTTGGAAAATCTAGCCATTTATTTAGGTGCCTAAAGGGGAGCTGCGCTGTGACAGTGGGAGAACCAATTCAAGGCCAGGGGAACAGCATGGTATCTCCTACATTACCCTCCTATTGCAGTCTGCAAAGGGGAGGTGGCCAGAGGTAATAGGCTGCAGCTGGGGCTTCCCTGTGCCCCAGCAATCCCCAGCTGTCATGATAGCCCTGGAAGCCTTTGACAGCTGGAGTAATAGCCTTCAAGCTGCTTTCACTTACACAGGGTGACCAGACCAATGCAGAGTCAGATCTGGATCACAGGAGCGTGCCTTCTGGAGCTGTACTGTGGGCTCCTCAGTGGCAGGCCGGGATCGGGGTCAGTATATGCAAGTAAGCCGAATCAGACCACTCTGAGGAAGCTTCCACGGGGGAAATAGGAGACACACTGTTCTGCTTTAGCTTTACTCCAGGTAGAGCAAAATAACTGGGACCCAGCAGAGAGTAAACTGCAAAGCTTGTGGCATTGAGTTCCACAAGTTAACTATGTGCTATGTAAAAAAAACACATCTTTCCCTCAATAGGGGAGGTAAATTCCACAATGGAGAACAGCTCACTGAAAACATCCTGATTTCAGCCCCGCCTCATTAAACTGGGGGCTAGGTTAACTCAAGCACCTCACCTGACCACAACTCCCTGTCTGATGCTGCAGCAGAGAGGTGGTCTTAGACATAATCAGTTACCAGATTAGGAGCCCTATCCCATCAGGTGCTTGAAATCAATCAGCAACCTTCAGCATCGGGTCCGAGTCAGGGGGAAACGAACTCGGAGGTTTTGCTACTCTCTAGAGGTATGTCTTCCCTGCAGAGTTAACTCAGGTGACCGGTGCCTGGGTGTGAGCAGGCACTCTGTGTGCAATACCATGCCTGAATTACTGCGCCCTTGCTGCTGCTGCTGCATGTAGCCGTGTGTGTCGCTAGACACCTGGAAGGAATCTCATGGCTCTGTGCTACACTTAGCTGAGCCACTCCATGATTCTTTCCTAGTGAATTGTGGAAGGCCTTGTCTGTCATTCGGGAGGGGGGGGGGGGAGATTATGGGAAGGTGCAGCAAGACTATCCTCCCTGCAAAGTAGGTGGGTGACCAGCCTGAGAGAAAGTGGCACCGAGGCTCTAACCCAGACCCCGCCATGCCAGCTAGCTCAGGCTGAAAGCAACACTAAACTCGGCTGAGAAGGTTTTGTTTGTGAAGAGGAGGTGGGCTAAGGTAACTCTATAGTGAAGACATACCCTAAGGTTTGAGTTGGTTCCAGGTGGGTCTGAATACAAGTAAGAGTAAGAGTAAGTCTGTACAACGTACCCAAGGAAATACAAACTGGTTTAGGAGGATGGGATACATTTCAATTATGTATCCGAGGGGGAAACTATCGAAATGAACTTCTTCCCAAAGGTGCCTGAATTCTGAATGCTGTCCCCATAAATATTTATGTCCAATACATATTTTATAGCATTACATAAGTTATTACAAAGATTCATCTGGAGCCATGGAAAAAGCCCAAGATTAATATTAAAGAAACGATACTTGGATGGGAGGAAAGCTGGATTTCAATTCCAAACATGAGCCGATGCTCCGAGCCATAGACTATTAGACAGGGAATTTGCTGGCTCAAGAGGGAAGATGATTGGCAATCTCACATAACTCTGCGCCCCAGGCTCGGTGTTCCAAGGCATCTTACTTCAGTATTTTAGAGAGAGAGTCAGATGCCTAGTATCCTCCCTAAGAACAACACTGAAAGTCAGCTGGTATGGTTATGGGCATTAGGTGGCCTGTATGAAATGTGTTTGGTAGATTGTAATCCGGGTCCTGGTGGATAGGAGACCACGGCACGAAAACCACCATACCACAACTGGCATCTTTATTGGCAGCCTCAGCAGAGGAATCAGTGACTGAACGTACCAGGGAGACAGAACTCCTGCTCTCAGACCTACATTTTTAAAAGTGGCTAGTGATTTTGATGCCCAAGATGAGATGCCTTAAAAGAGGTCTGCTATTGAGAGGGCAGATGCTTGTAATTTCCTGAAAAACAACTCCATTATAAGGTGTCTCAGATTAGTCACCCCAAATCAATAGTCACACAAGAAAATTTAGGTTTGTCTCTAGATTAAAGCCGAGGCACGGCGATGGGGCGATATAAAGAAGTTGCACTGCTATTGTGTGGTTGCTCTGTGGTGGCTCAGTGGCAGAAGCCCCCTTGAGTTCAGTGATAAAGAAGCAGGCCTTGGAAGAGGAGAGGAATTCACTCTCTAGGGCTCCCTTTCTACGTCCATTCCAAGAGCACTAAAATTAATGACAGATTTTTGGTTCTAATAATTTTTTGGAAACAAACATGCGTGTGTAAGTATTGTCTGAACTGGAAAAATAAATTATAGAAATAGTCGCAAACTATTTCATTACTTGTATGTCTCTGCTCTTTATATCTTTCCTATGATCAGGATTTCTTCAAGCCGTGCTGTTCTTCATTATTTATGAAAACCCGGCATATTCTTAGAGGCCCAGATCCTGCCATTGGATCTGTGTGCACCCAGGCAGAACCCCATTGGGGTTTACGGGATTAAGCTCCGTTTGCGCAGCTCCGAGGCAGGATCTGGGCCACTGCATGCGCTGCACAATGGCAATATTGAGGGGGCGGGGGAACAACCCATCAGCCTGCGGTTAAATTGGAGACGGGTTGCTGCAATGAAAGCCAGGCTTGGTGGTAACGGCTGTGCATTTTTGTACCAGCAAGGCCATTAAGCATATATTACGCAGCATAATTAAGGCTCCGGAATCTCTACTTGTGAGATTCCAGCTGGAGTTCTCTTCTGCACTCTAACCCCAAAGGAAGATGGTGAGGCAGGAAAGCCTGCCAACTCTCCCCACTTCCCACTGCATGAGCCATTCGAGGATAAATACGTTCAGTCGCCTCTGAGAGGCTGATGTTTCCCACGGGGGATCACGTTTTAAAAGCAGGGGGCACAATATTGTATTTCATGGGGATATTTTCCAACTTTTTGGTAGAGCGCACTGGAAAATGCCATGGTATTAAGTATCCTCTTTGAGCCTAATGTGCTGTTTTGTTCCCATCCACATCTGGCAAGCAAGCACCAGATGTTGGAAGCCCTCCTTTGCACCCATTATCAGGCCTCAGCACCTGGCCACATACACAATCCTCTACCAGCCCCAGCACCCCCCAAGCACGTCGCTTGCTACCTGGACCAATTTGTCAATCCCAAGCGCTCGGTCCAATTCCGCCAACTCCGTTTCATCTTTGCCACTCAGGAAGGACACAAGCTGCTCGAGGAGGGCTTTCTCGTCGTTCCGGCCCTCCGGCGTGGTGGGGGGGCATAGGAGTTCGTCCAGCTGGGAAGTGATGCACTGGCTGTGTGGGTGACAAAATAAACGGAGACGTTCAGTGTAGAAAACAGCTCTGCATTTCAGCTGTAAGGACCCCACGGGGAAGGACTGCTTCTGCACGGTTCCTCCCGCTGACATGCTCACTTGCCTAACTGGTTCTGAGTCCGCGCAACAACTCACTCTGATCTAGCAAGCGAACCCAAAGGGATGTTTGGAACGCACCGAGGGTGAACTTCACCCCTGCACAAGGTTTAGGCACCACTTCAAACTATCGCTGGACCTGTGCGCAGGGTTGAGTTTCAGAGCCTCAACAAGATTCTTATCAAACCTTCTTGATTTTTCCAGGTTTTGTGCTGGCAAATGTCGCGCTAGCTGAGAAGGACAGCGGGTTTTCAGGACAGAGAATTCTTTGGAAACACAAAGCCAGAGAGGTTTGGGAAAAGTCAGAACAGCTGACACTAAAGCCACTGAAGGCAAAGGGAACTGTTTAGGCACAAAAATAAGAAGCCTGAAGAATTCTCCCCCTTGATATTCTGGGGGACAAGGTTCATATGTAATGAGAGACGTTCCAATGACGTGACTGACTGGCGTCGATGGGATTTGCTGGGCCTGACACAATGAAGGGAGCTATGGCACATCACACTTCTAGAAAAGCACAAAGGAGAGAACTTGAACATGGCAGTGGTTCCCAAGGAGCAGACCTGTTTATCCTCTTAGCTCCAGATGAGGACCAGATGTACAGTAAGTAACTGAAACTAATCTGATCAGGAACACTGCAGCCAATACACACAGTTTAATCCAGGGAAAGAAATATAAGGCACTGGAATTTCTTAGACTGCAGTACAGGAGCAGAGGAAGAAGGGGAGGGAGAGGTGAAGAATGGGGCTTGCTTCAGTCTATAACAAAGATTCCTGCTGCTTGTAGCTTCATATCAAACCACATTTGTGTGTGTTAAAGCTGGAGCTACACATCCAGCTGTACTGGCTCCTGTACACACAAACACTCCATCAGTCCACAGGAGGGGCATCAAATTCAGAGGAAAGGGCTGGATTCCAGGTTAAATTGTGGGCTGGAGGTTGGCAGAGTGCCCTTGATCCACATCGGAGACCCCAATGATATCAGTGGAAGGTTCACTCACACAGCCAGCAAACAATGCGGCCGTTACTAGTAACTAAACTGATTTATTCCTGTATTTCCTTCTCTGCGGCAACTCCCAAATGGTACCTGTCGAGGGTTTCACTCCCATCCCGACCCCATTCTACACACTAGAACCGTCAGTAAATGTTGAGGTGCCGTGACATCATTGGTTTCGGTGCTGATGCTCCAACCTAGCACGAGAAGGGAGTTCGCCCCTCTGACTCACTGGTGCAAGCTCCATGCAGACATCCTGATGTCTCTTACGTGTGGTTCACGTGTGGAAGGTTCTTTCCCCCGCCAGGAGGACTAGAAACTTTTTTTTTTTTTTTTTTTTAATTGAAGCTTAGATTCTGCACAATCGGAGCATGCCATGTGGGTCACACAAATACATCATGCAGGCCAGATCCGCCCTGCAGGCGGTATGTTTGACACCGCTGCGCTATGGCTTATATGCAATACAGTAATGCCACGAGGCCCTTGCTGACCTCAGGGCTCCCTTGGGCTAGGACTGTACAAACGCAGAGAGAGGGGGGCAGTCCCTGCCCTGAAGAGCTTACAGCCTAAAGAGACAAAGAAAGGGAGAGTAGTATCCCCATCTCAGACAGGAGACAGAGACAGAAATAATAAGAAACTCACCCAAAGTCACTCGGAGTCTGGGAACTGAACCTGGAACTCCAAACTCCCAGCCTGGTGCCTTAACTACAGCACCAATGTTCTTCTTTACACAGCCTGCTCGTTATGGGTTGATATGCTATTTTACTTCTTGCAGGCCATCTCTTAAAGGGATTTCTGGGTGTGGCAACACAAATGCAAAGCCCTATGCTAACGGGACTATTATTCCTCAGAAAAATCACAGGTCCCAGACACATTTCTAACAAGCTGCTGATATGTTCCAGCAAAATGGTTCATGGGAAACAATCCAGCCAGGAACAGAACCCCCTCAGCCTCCCTGTGTCTTCCTCATGTGTACAGAAGAGCACAGAAAGAAACCCCAAGTCTTCTAAAGACATGCAGCTCAGAGTGACCACAAACTGCTCCACATCTATCCAGAGACCCACCAGCTTTATAAGGTGAAGAGAACAGCTCTATCACACTCGAGTTAACATGTATCTTGCAGCAGAGCAAGAGGGAAAGCTCTGTTAATAACAAACATAACCATATAAGCTTTACATATGAACTTAAATTTGAGCTTTAATAGGGCCTGTCAAATTGAAAACTGGAGCATGCGGCCAGTAACCTGTAATCAGATTCTGTCATACACACAGCTCCAGCAGTTTAACAGCCTCTACACAGACATTTGATTTTATTTAAAGCTCTGCTGAGGGCTGGAACGAGACCTTTGGGGTTTTTTTGGTCCAGAAAAGCCCTCTGGACTAGGCGAAAGGCTCACCACTTTGCCTCTGGTGGCCATTGTTTACGATTATTGGGATCTTCTTCCCATTCAAGGTCAGGACTATCTTATTAGCAATGGCAAAAATCTCACCCTTGTCACCTCGATGGGTTAAACACAAGACCGCGGTTTGCCTACTCTCCACGATTCCTGGTGCTGCTGCTTTCACATACAAGGAGGCAGCGTAACATTTACTCCTAACATTGCTGGAAGCCATTTCACCCTCTGCTTCCTTCCCCCCTGTAAGGCACCCATCCCCTTGGTATCTGGACATCAAATGTAGCATGCATGACAGGCAGGCTCTCTCTAGTCCCCTGGTTAGCTTTGTGAGTTTACATATAATGACATTTTTAATAAGTACTTTTATTTTATTTATGGCCATTGCTCCTGGGGAAAGGCCTCATTGAAACTATTTTGTTCTGTCCTAGTTATATTCCAATAGCTCCACCTTATTGCTTAATGTTCTGTTCTCCTTCAGGAGCACAGCTGGTCATTTAGCAGACTGTTTACCTCCCCATCACAAGCCTTGATGTATTCACTGCTGATGAAGCCCAACTACCGCTATTTTAATAGCTACATGGAAAACGCCATTCAGAGGTTTTGCTCAAGCAGAACTGTACAGTACCTCCCTTCTGCCTCAATTCAGGTCAAAGAAAAGTTTCTGCATGCAGAGTTTTTGCAACCTTATAACTATACCACTAGGTGGCAGCAGTTGTAATTAATGGACTCTATCCTTAGTTATTTGGAAAAAATCTTTTTCTCTCACACTGTCCTAATACTGATTTCAGTGTATCTGGTCTATGAGGCACCTTTCACCATTGACAGTGCACTAATATTATTCGTACTGGCACAGGGTGAAGTTCACCCTTGTGAAAAGGGCCAGCACAAAGCCTGTGCCTCAGTGATGTTCTGACTGTGCTGGCTGGCCCTTCCATACAGGTGTGAATTTCACCCTTGTGCTATTGTATCTCCTCCAGTCTTAACTAGCTATGGTGAGAACGTTCCTCTCCCTCGACTCAACCAAGTGCATCAGACTAGAGAATATCAGGACATCTTATTATGGCCTACATTTGAGCTGTCTGATCACTTAATAAACCTCATGTAAGTGTAACTTCCACGGGTATGCCTACACAGCCAGTGAAAGCAAGTCTCAGAGCCCGGTTTGACAGACTCAGGCTCATGCCATGGCATTAAAATTAGCTCAAGACCTTAGGCTTCAGTGGGTGGGTGGGCTTCAGAGCCCAAGTTCCAGCCTGAGCCCAAACCTTTACACTGCTATTTTTAGTCATAGTGCGAATCTCAGACTGTCTACCTTTAACACTCACTGCCGTGGGTTGATAATCGCTGTGTGGACGCACCTATAGGGACCTTTACCCAAGGGTTGGCACGGCAATCTCTATCCACAGAAGAACAACAAACCGTAAGCCTACTGAAAATATATCGTAAGAGGGTAGAGGAGGGTGGGGTGGCGGGAAGGCAGATTATCCAAACCCACAGTACTTACTCGTCTGGTTTATTCAAAGATACTCGATTCATGGAGGCCATGGGGTTGTCTGCCCATGGAATCTGGTCACCCATTCCTGGCTGTCCAAACTGTTGATCGGAGACTCCCAACTCCAGTTCAGACAATCCTGATTGGGAAAAGCGAGGGTGGGGTAGAGTAAGTGTTATAGAGCAAAAGAGGTGCCATAAACCACTCTCTCCCCATTCATCATCCCATTCACTTATGTGTAAAATACCTTCAGTGTAAGGTGAAGGAAGAGTGGGGAAAATGCAAAGGAAGCTAAGAGTTCAGACAAATGTTAATGCCTGCTTAGACCTGAAATCCTTTTGGAGTCAGCTGAGATAATCCCTGGCTCACAGAGGTACAGAGGCAGTACCTCCCCCATCCCCAAAAGCATTCTGACATGAAAGTTTGAGCTGATGTTGTGGACAAGTACTACCACTACTAAAGGATTAAGAAATGGGGCTACTTAGCTCTTCCATACATGATGCTCAGATACCATGATGACGACACAGAATACATGCCAAAAACAGAGTGATTAAACGGAAATATGAAATCTCTCATCAGGCCCCCTTTACCACCACCTCAGATCAGGAATCCAGAGGGGCAACCAACTGAAGCAGGGTCAAGGACTTGCTCCACATTGATGTCCTATATCTCTGTGAACAAAGCTCTAATCAGGCTGAGTACGTGAAATCTTACCAAAGCAATGGGAATTCACACAGCTGACTCCCTTCCCTTGCAACACATAGCACACCGTCACCCACAACCTAGGCAGCCCAATTTAACTACTGCAGCTCCACTACACTGTCTAATAGACTGTAGCGGGACAGTGATTGTGTCATGGCTCTAACACTTTGCGAGCGCAGGATAAGCAATAAGGAAAGGGATAAGAGTGCACTAAGATTTCAAAATCAATGACATGAGTTTTCAGAAAACAGAGACACTCCAGCTCAGAGAGTTTGTGACATATACACCAAGACCCAGAGAGCTTTGTTCCTAATGGCAGGACTATTATGTGGCTGTTCTTTTCAGCCCCTAAGTAGCAGACATCAGCCATAGCTTCCCTCATACCAACAGACATTATCTCCTGGGTACACTTATATAGGAAGAGAGAGTCTCTCTCAAAGGCTGTACACACGGCGGCTTTGTGTAAGTCCCTCTTCTACATAGATCTACGAATGTTTTCAAAATGTAACCAGTTAAAGAATTCTTTATTGAAAGTTGTTACCACTGGAGATTTTGCCTAAAAAACCAACTCAAAATAAAGCGCACACATATTCATGCCTTTTGACTTTCCATTCTGGAGAAACTCATTTTACAGGGGAAAAGGCCAATTCAACCAATTTAAATTCCGCAGGAGTTTGAGCCCAGCCCAGAACTGAGCAATTTATGAGGTCTGGAGACTTTACACCATCATCTTATTTGAAATATGAATTGATATTTCAGGCTACATCTTCACTACAGGGGGGGGGGTCGATTTAAGATACGCAAATTCAGCTACGCGAATAGCGTAGCTGAATTCGACGTATCGCATCCGACTTACCCCGCTGTGAGGACGGCGGCAAAATCGACCTCCGCGGCTTCCCGTCGACGGCTCTTACTCCCACCTTCGCTGGTGGAGTAAGAGCGTCGATTCGGGGATCGATTGTCGCGTCCTGACGGGACGCAATAAATCGATCCCCGAGAGGTCGATTTCTACCCGCCGATTCAGGCGGGTAGTGTAGACCTAGCCTAAGACTAAAAGCATCTTGGCTAAACTAACGATTGGACAGCAATGTGAACAGAGAACTGCAAGGGATAAGAAAATCTGTGACCATGGTGGCATCCCTTCTCCTGGGCATGCTCCCCCGTGTCCATGCATAGTTCTATTATTTCTAAGGTTTCAAGTACTTACAAAGCAGTTACTGAAAATGAAAAGTCTTTATTTATTTTTGGTGTTTTTACCATACGCAGCCATGCTAATTCCTTTTACAATAAAATGGGTTACATATATTAGGGATTATAGAGGTGCATATCCTTTAAAGGACAGGATCTAAGCATACCGCATGTTGGCCAAGTATGACGCTTTGTCCTTCTCTAGCAGCTGCTGTTTCGAACTTAATGGACCCGGTCCTTTAGCTCAAGCACTAGAGGTTCACGCTTTTAGATCTAGAGATCCCAGCTTCCATTCCCACGGATGCCCTCAATCAAGGGCACAGTTACAAAGTGGTCATTACCCACACATGATCCTACTATTGTTGCAAGTGGTCACCAGGTTCCTGCAAAGCGAGCCCTAAAATCTGAGAAGTCTGCCTGGATCTAGCTGCCACAGTTCTGTCTGATCAGCTAATCTGATCATAGCTATGCACCAGCAAGTCAACTTGCAAGTGTTCATTTACTTCATGAAATTACTGTACAGTAAGACAACATTCTTAAGGTTGCTTGGCAACAGAAGAATAAAAAATTCTAGCAGCAGCAACGTCAGCTCCAGCTGGGCAAGAGAATGCTCCATGCGCAACTGCTTTGCAGCCTAATTCAGTTTCTTTATAGGCTTCTTTGACATGTTTTCACCTATTTGCTTGGGCTGAAGCTTATGGTCTTCTCCAAACAACAACAGTGCAGCTGCTGTCCATGTGCACCAATCTGCAAGATGAAAGTATTCAGAAATCCAGGTGCCATCTTCTCCACAGGCAACTTCCTTCCCCCTTCAGATAAACTAAGTTACAATTCAGATACTGTTTTGTTGCTGAGTCAACTTGATCCAAGCCATTCCTCAAACTACAGTCTTATAAGTGCAACTGAATAAGCACTTTAGATAGAGGCCACTGTGGGCAGAACCATAATAAGTCAGTGCTTATAACCATGACAGCTGGGACAAGGCACAACATAGGCGAACGGTGTGCAATTTCCTCACACAGCTCTGCCACTGCTTCTCAGTCTTGGCTCCTAAGTGAAAGCTATATCATACCAAACTGTCCTTCTGAGCATGAGACCAACTGCTAAGCTCATTGCACTTGTGAGCCAAGGCAAGTCCTCAAGCTAGGTCTCCGGTCTGGGAAAGCTAGTGCAAAACTTAACTCAAACTGATCCCTGTATTTAATATAAGACCTGAGATCTCCTGCACCTACTGACTTCAGAAGGAGAAAAGGACACTTAGTACGTTGTAGGAGGTATCCAGCTTCTTACAGGGTTGGGCTCATAGAAGAGCTCTGCACTACAGCCTCTGAAGTCTTTAAGCTTCCTGCCTCAGAGACGGAAAGCAAAGAGTAGGATTATATGGTCAACTTTCATCTTGGCAAAAGGTTAACAACAGGGGTTTCAATGTTCTGTACTAGGTCCCAAGTTGTTTAATATAGTTATTAACGATCTGGAAAAGGGATAAGTAGTGAGATAGCAACATTTGCAGATGACATGACGTTGTTTAGGTTAGTCAGCCTCAGAGAGGGCTGTGAAGAACTTCATGGAGACCTAACCAAGCTAGGTGAACGGCCAACACGATGGCAAATGTCATTCACCATTGATACACGCAAAGTAATGCCCACTAGAGAGAAAAATGTGAACTACTGGCACACTGTAAAGGGTTCTACATTAACTGTCAGCCCAAGAAAGAGACATGGGTGTCACTGTAGACAGATCAATAAAAACCTCTGCTCAGTGCACCACTGCAGTCAAAAATGCCAACAAGAAGTTAGGATCTATAAGGAATGAGATGGAGAATAATAATGAAAATGTTATAACGCCTTTATATAAATCAATGGTGCAGCCTCATCTGGATACTGCACACAATGCTGGTCACTTGATCTCCAAAAGGATACTGCAGAACTGGAGGAGATTCAGGGAAGAGCAACAAGAGGCCTGGAAAACCTCTCCTATGCAGAAAGACTGAAAAGGTTGGGATCGTTACCTTAGAAAGGAGAAAAATACGAGGGGCCATGATAGAAGTCTATAAAATAATAAATAATCCGGAGAAGGGAGGTCAGCAGCATTTGTTCTTCCCGTCTCATACCATGAGAACAAGGAGATATGCAATAAAATTAGGGTGGCAAATTCAAAGCCAATAAAAGGAAATATTTTTTTCCCCACACAGTATGTAATTAAGATGTGAAACTCACTGCCACTGGAAGTCACCGAAACCAAGAATTTAACAAGAATAAATGGGACTGGACAGTTATAGTGATGCATATATGGAGATATACCTATCTCATAGAACTGGAAGGGACCCCGAAAGGTCATCGAGTCCAGCCCCCTGCCTTCACTAGCAGGACCAAGTACTGATTTTTGCCCCAGATCCCTAAGTGCCCCCTTCAAGGATTGAACTTACAACCCTGGGTTTAGCAGGCCAATGCTCAAACCACTGAGCTATCCCCCCCGTCAAGAAGATCCTGAGTTATCATAATTAATGGCAATAAAAATATTGGAAGGATATTAAACTGTGTGCTTCAGGACTCACGCTAATCTCAAACTACTAGAGATCAGGAAGAGACCTACGTAGGGGGCAGATTATCCCACATCTGCCTTTGGCAGGGTTCTTACAACGTCCTCTGAAGCGTCTGGTTCTGGCCCCTGTTGGAGACAGGACACTGGACTCAATGGACCTTGGGTCTGATCCAGTCTGGCAATTCCTCTGGTCACATGTTTTCTTTGGCTTCCCGCTGAAGGTGAGCGGTCCTGGGTCTGTGACTTCCTGTGATCTATTCCCTGCTGTGGAGCTGCCATTACAGCACTTCTCTTCCTTCACAGAGGATGAAACGTATGGTTCTCTTCTGAGATCATCTTTAATATCTCGCCATGTTGATGGGGAGAGGTGGAGACAGAGTAGCAATATCCTCCCTTCCTGGAGACCCCTGTAGCATAGTCTGGAAAGCAGGAATACCAAGGTCTCCAGCATTGTGCCACTAGTACCATCAGATGCCCACCACACCAATTTAATTCGTTGCCTGAACTGGGATCTTACTCCTGAAGCTGTTTATACACCTTCTTATGAGCCTCTGGGGAGAGTGTAACCAAAGTCATTTGCAGTCATGAAACCCCAGCCTGTTCACGGAGTTTAATGTTGCCATTCAAAAGTAGCTTATTCAGTCCAAGTTTTATGGAAAGATATTTAGACCAATTTCCAGGGGAATATGGCCCTTGCACTAAACTCATAACAGCTTTATCCGGCGCTGGCAATTTAATCTAACAGTACCTGTCTAGAAACAGGTACAGGAAGGCCAGGTCTGTTTGCTTCTCTTTTCGCAGTAACGCAGAATTAAAAAAAAAAAAAAAAGCTGGGTTATTTCAAACATTCACATTGAAGTGGATTAACTGGGTTATCATTCCAAGACACCATAGCGGTATTCCCCAGCAGGTACGTGGAATAAAGGAAAGGGTAGTGCATGTCCTTTTCCAGACACGGCAGTGAAGGTGGGAGTGGCTTCAGTACAGTGTCTTTCAGCACCAACGTATGCAGTGTTGTTGTAGCAGTGTTGGTCCCATGACGTTAGAGAGACAAGGTGGGTGAGGTAAGATCTTCTATTGGACCAGCTTCTGTTGGTGTGCAAGACAAGCTTTCGAGCTTACACAGATCTTCTTCAGCTCCGTGTAAGCTCGAACGCATCTCTCTCCCCAAGAGAAGTTGGTCCAATAAAAGATATTACCTCACCCACCTTGTCTTTCAACACCAATGTTAATCAAATTTTCTGCTTCTCCGTATTCTCTGCTTGGAGAAAGCTGGGTGGGATTGTTTTACCTTACCTAGTTTGCATAGGGCCAACATCAGAATTGGTTTTCAAAACACAGGTCCAACATTACCTCACCTTCCCTAAAGTGAAATTCAGACACAAGGCCTATGCCCCATGTAAACCTTCTGCTCTGCACGGGGTGAATTTAACTTATCTTGGTGCCCTCTCTGCTATACTTTTATATTGGTAGATCCCCCCAGAAACTGCAGGCATAACCTAGTAGGGAGCAGAAGGCCCAGATCAGCGGATCCCTGCGGGAGCACATACCTGTATCAGGCTGGAAGGGCTTTGGTCCAGTTACTGTCCCCCTGCCCTGCTCTGACGGTAACCCGGAACGCAGACTGCTGCCATTCGTTGCAGGAAAATGAGCTGGCCTGAGCTGAACTGGCTCCACGGGGTCGCAGAACTCAAATGGGGACCGGCCAGCCTGCATGCCCTGCCCGCCGTTAATAGCTAGAGATTCATTAAATAATAAATAAGCATAACTCAGACAGCTTCCGAGGGCTCATCACGACATTACCAATGCTTGACTGATTCATCCTGCCAGCCAAAAAAGCTGACATCAGTGACTTTGGAGGGCAAGAGAGGGATTGGTGTGGGAATGGCCTACTCATGGCACTTGGGACTAGGGACTGACAAGATGTGACTTCATTGCTCAGAGCCCACCCCAGGAAATCACACCTTAGGAATGCAGGCAAACAAGGACACTATGCTGCCAATCAGCACCGGACAGCGACGTGGCTCTGATTTAGTACTTCTGAGAAGGCAGGCACTCCATGCTGCTACCACAACGGTGCTGTAGAGAAAGGGACCAGCGCCCCAGTAGTTAAGCTGGGCAGGTGGAGGGATACGCAGAGGATATGTAGAGGGCGGCTAGGTTTGACTGGATTCTTGTGCCTATGTATTATATGAAATAAGCAAGTTTTGAATCCCAGTGCAAGAACTGCACAAACCTCACTCTCACTTCAGATCAACATAGGAGCCTCTTGAGGGGATAATTCACAGCTGCCCGCTCACTGCAGTCAGAACTTGATCCAGGTACATACAGCAGGACCTCACTAACCTGCACAGGGTGAAATTCACCCCTGTGCGGTGGGCCAACGCTCAGCCTGAAGTGGGATTTAAGTGATACCCATGCCTCGGGCAGGCCCACTACACAGGGCTGAATTCCAGCCGCCATTCACCATACCCTCTGCTCTTTTCAGCTGTGATTTAATGGAAAAAAGCCTGTCGTGGGGGTCCCATCTTTATTCACCCTCTAGAATCATCTGCACCTTCAAAGTTTTTATCTCTTTTGATCAGAGCTTAGGCTGGGTTTCACCCCTTTGCAGAGCACAGGCCTTGCACGGGCTCTCTCCAGAGGGCTGAATGTCAGTGTAATGACCAGGCATCTCACTGCGGAGATGAAGTGCGTTTTCTGAGTTAACCATTGTAATCCACGCACCAGTTTAACCCAACAGCACTAACTTAAAGGGAACTGGTTTCCTTGTGGGCATTTGGGCTTGAGATAAAGTATCATTTCCCAGCAAGAATATGTAAATTCTGGATTATATGGGGAGTCGCTGTTGGGAGTTTAAAGCACAGAGTTGGACACATCTCACCATAAATGTACTCCTCCTCTTTGCCAATCTCTGTTTCAACCCTGTCTGATATAAGGTTCCCTTGTCTCCCAAAGACAATAAAGCCCCATTATAATTATACTCGTGTCACTACATTATGAATGCCCTAGTACTCCGTTCCCTGAAGGTGCTGTCCATTTGAGTCTTTAGAATAAGAGTCCTTGGCATGCAAATAATAGGCTTGAGTGATAAGCGGCTGTCTGATCTTTAGCTATGAATTCAGTGGAGAGGTGATGGGACAAATTGGTCAATGGCTCTGATTAGAGCTGACAGCTCCTTTTCAAGCTGCCAGACATTCCCCTATTGTGGAAAGGCGCAGCATGGCTCTCTGATGCATTTAGTCTCACTGCAGCTGTCATTCAAAGCCCTCACCAGGTTTATTGCCCAGCGTAGTATCTTCTATCCAACTCGCGCTCCTCTGTTTCTCTCATAGCCGATATCCTGATCTTAGAGTCATATGGTGGCTCTTGATTCAGATAATCTACTCTCCTTGCAGCATATGTAACACAACACCATGTCACCCTCTAGTGGCTGGTCCCAGTGACTAGAACAACCTGCTTGCAACTAATGGAGTTTTTCTTTAATTTGGTGCTAGAGGCCTGTTTCCCAAGGATGACTGATGTGTGTAGCTACAAAATATTCTCTGAGTTCAGGCCTCCAGAGCAGAATTTTGCTCCTGCTTACAACACTGTTGTTCTTCCTCATACTATGGGATTTTTTTACCCTTCTAAAGATGCCGAATCTACATAAGAATGGCCATACTGGGTTCATCTAGCCCAGTACCTTGTCTTCTGACAGTGGCCAGTGCCAGGTGCTTCAGAAGAAATGACCAGAACAGGACAATTATCTAGTGATCCATCCCGTGTCATCCAGTCCCAGCTTCTGGTAGTCAGAGGTTTAGGGACACCTACAGCATGGGGTTGTCTTGCTGCCCATTGTGGCTAATAGCCATTCATGGACCTATCCTCCATGAACTTATCTAATTCTTTTTTGAACTCTGTTATACTTTTGGCCTTCACAACATTCCCTGCCAATGAGTTCTACAGGTTGACTCTGTGTGGTGTGAACAAGTACTTCCTTTTGTTTGTTTTTAACCTACTGCCTATTAATTTCATTGGTGACCCCTAGTTCTTGTGCTACATGAAGGGGTAAATAACACTTCCTTATTTACTTTCTCCACACCATTCATGATTTTATAGACCTCTATCACACCCTCCGTTAGTCATCTTTTTTCTAAGCTGAACAGTCACTGTCTTTTTAATGTCTCTTCATATGGAAGCTGTTCCATACCCCTAATCATTTTTGCTAAACTTCTCTGTACTTTTTCCAATTCTAATGATCTTTTTTGAGATGGGGTGACCAGAACTGCATACAGTATTTAAGGCGTGGGCATATTATGGATTTAGAGAATGGCATTATGCTATTTACTATCTATCCCTTTCCTAATGGTTCCTAACATTCTGTTAGCTTTTTTGACTGCTGCTGCACATTGAGTGGATGTTTTCAGAGAACTATCCACAATGACACCAAGATCTCTTTCTTGAGTAGTAACAGCTAATTTAGACTCCATCATTTTGTATGTATAGTTGGGATTATGTTTTCCAATGTGCATTACTTTGTCCTTATCAACACTGAATTTCATTTCCCATTCTGAAAGTCCAAGTACATAGGGTCAGGTTTTCAAGAGCTCAGAACGCATTGCGACACTTATGGGCAGATTTTGAGAGCTCAGTATGTTGAGTGCATGTTGGGAGCTGAGCTCTCTGGAAAACCTGGCCATTTGTACTGGGCACTGAACTCTTCTACAAATCTGGCTCGATCGTGGATGACAAGTGCTTTTGAAAATCTGGCTTTTGTGCTCAGTAGGTGCTACTTTGCTACAGGTAATTGTGTAGAGTCCTGTTAGCACTGTTAAGCCACCATCTTACTTGGGCTGTTAGTAGTTAATTTTCTCACTTAATATAAGCTTAGCATAACCGATTCTAGCATTTTGTTAGAGCTGAGAAGGGCTTGTCAGATTGGTGTTATGTAGTTCACTGCAGCTACTCTGGCTCCTTAGCCTGGGATCACCCTTGTCCACATGTTTATTGACCCCCTCAAAAATTCTAATAGATTGGTGAGGCATGATTTTCCTTTACAACAGCTGTGTTGATTCTTCCCCAGTGTATCGTGTTCATCTGTGTCTCTGATAATTCTGTTCTGTACTATCGTTTGAACCAATTTGCCTGGTACTGAAGTCAGACTTACCAGCGGCCTGTAATTGCCAGGATCGCCTCTGGACTCTTTTTAAAAAAATTGGTATTACATTAGCTCTCTTCCAGTCATCTAGTACAGAGGATGATTTAAGCAATAGGCTACATTCCACAATTAGTAGTTCTGCAATATCATATGCGAGTTCCTTCAGAACTCTTGGGTGAATACCTTCTGGTCCCGCTGACTTCTTATGTTTAATTTATCAATTTGTTCCAGAACTTCCTCTACTGACACCTGAAACTAGAGTCCTATGAAAACATTCCAGGCTGTTCATTTACCCCCTTCCTGCCAAACCTATTTCATGGGCTTTGTCCTGATTTCTGCATGAGACAGCAGAGACAGCCAACGGCTTCATTATCTCTATTTGCTGAATAAGTAATATGTGGATTATCCCTCCCAGGGCAGAACAGCAGCTAATTGGTTTATACCTAGGATTATTCTGCCAACCATTAGCTTTTCTTTTTAGAATTCCCCTCCCACTCCCTCTCCCTCTTTCAGACAGTCCTGTTCATTAGCAAAAATCTGCACCTCCACTCTTAAGACTCAATGTAATTCTCAGTGATAAGATGAATATTTCTGCTTGTGGTAACATGGTGGATGCAACAAACAACTCTGTTTCACCCAAAACCCAAAATAAAAACCCGGGATAGGTAAACCCTCACAAAGCTGGAACCTGGTTACACTCTATGCACTGGGGCTGCAAGGGGGAGGATTTCACAGAACTGAAGCCGATACGTGAGGGCAGCCTCGGCTGAGTGAAACCTATCGGATGTAATACAACCGGCACTCCTGGGGGGAAGCCCGTGAATGTTAAGTAAAAGCATCACCAGGTTTATTTTACTTTCACTGAAAAGAGCTGAAAACCTGGGCTTTGCTAAAGTTGCTTTGTGTTGCCCCACCTCTGAAAATCAGGCCATTTATTCAGGTATCTAAATAGGGATGTGGGTGATGAAACTCTAGGCACCCAAATTGATAGTGATGACACGAAACCACATACAGCGACCCACTCCTTACTGAGCCCAGTGAGCACACTGACTCCCCAACTCCCAATTTGTGAAGGAATGTATCCTTGTCCTCTTACTCACTCATGGCATGGCTGTTTGATAGTGAACACATCTCTGCAAGGTCACTAAGCTTTAAGATATAAAACACAATTAAGAGGACACACTGGCCCCAGTATACCACATAAAGCTAATACTGTATCCCTAGAAGTCCACTGCAATGACAAGAGATTAACTCTCCCCCCAAATACTGGAAAACGGTCTTGTGGATTAGCATGAGAGAGCAGAGCTATTAGCACTGACACATACTATTAAGCCCCATTGGAGTTCTTGCTGCAGCGCTGGGCTGGAGCGAGGCTGTCAGAATCTCAGGTTTGACCGCAACACTGGCCATGCTGCTTTCGGTTCTATCCGTCCCACACAAGCCGGGCAACTGGGCTGCTTTCTCCAGCGAAGGCAGCAGCTGATCGAGCTGGTCGAGGTCAGCAGGAAACTAAGGAAGGAAACAAGGTCACAGGTCAGTCATTGAGCCCATTTGGGCAGCACAATCTCTTTACACACAGAAAAAATTCAGAAACAGCCACTGTGTCCCTTCCTCTCCCCTCCCCCCCAAATTAAGTGTCTCATTGAAATTACATGCAAAGAGGGCAATCAGGACTCATTCTGTCCCTGGCAGTTCAAGCATTTTGCAATGTAATTTTCTTCTGGCTACCCTCCCCAAATGCTAGTGTAAAGGCCTCTGTTGGAATGATTTCTGTGTACCCTCGATCACAGATAAGCAGAAGCACAGAAACAGGGTCTGATTGACCACTATGTTACCTCCTGGTTTACAGCTACTGATTTCCGTGGAATTACCCATGTGAAGCTGGAACACGAGAGAATCAGGCCCCTAGCCTCTAGAACGAGCCTAGAGCATTACACAGAAGATGCAAAATCAACATCTTGGGTATGAGATGTCACCATTTCGTGTCCAGTAGGTAGCAGGGGGTAGTTTGCTCTGTCAAAACGTGCAGAGACAGATGCCCTTGGGGTTATGGCACTGGCCTGGGACTCAGGAAAGCCAGGTTCAATTCTTGACTGCCACCAGCTTCCTGTGTGACCTTGTGCAAGCCTCTCTGTGTGCCTCGGTTCCCTGTCTGTAAAATGGGGATAATGCTTCCTTTCCCCACCCTTTGTCTGTCTTGCCTATTTAGACTGCAGACTCTACAGGGCAGTGACTGTCTCTCACTACATCTCTACAGTCCTGAGCACAATGATGCCCTGATCTCAATGGAGGCTTCTAGGCACGACAATAAGACAATTATTATTAATGGCTTGCATGGGCATTGACTTGAAGGGGCCCTAGACACCTACAGCCATTTGGCAGGAGGTAATTTGCTCTATTAATACACATACATTTACACTGATGTAAAAAACGGCCTCTCATGAAAAATATAAGATACTTTGTAAAGCAGCCCTCCAAACCTCTGCTTATACATTTGCCTAGGGCAAGTAATTATTCTTGATGGACTAGTAATATATCATTTAGCTTTTCCAATCTTCATCATAGCAAAGAATAGGAGAGTAGATGTTTGGCCTGGGGACCCAAATAAATGGGGAAGTTACTGAGGAAGGGATTCGCACCAGGGGATATAATGGAGATCCTGGTAAGCAATAGTTTGGGATTAAAGGGACTAAGCTAAATTAGGTTTTGGTTAAAAAAATTATCCCAAGGGAAGTAACATTTTTTAAAATCTCAATCTAAGAACACATTGAAACATGCTCCCATGAGAGTCAGCAGTCGGCGTGACAAAGAGCATGCATGTTGAGCGACGTGCGCATTTACAGGCAATTCCTTTCCAGATTATTAGTCTGAAATACCTTTGCATTTGACTGACAGATGCAGAGAAATAAGTTTAGGTCACAGTGAGGTTTAGCAGAAAGTTGGCTAATTAGCTGGGACACAAGGTTGGAGCTGACAGGCCCTATGCCTATGATAAATATAACCAGATTTACCAATAGCCTAGGGTATATAAACAGCTGTGTGTTTCACAGACGAGTCAATATGTCAGCAATACTATGGAGAAATCAGCTGTGAGATCAAACTGCAGCTCCAGCCAGGGGAAGGTTCCTTCGCCTGGAGGGCTGCTCACTTTGGGGCAGCTCAGGGCTCACCTCATTCTTGTGCTGCTCTGCAAAAATGGATAAAGACCTGCGTTCTTGGGCAGCCCGGCTCTAGCAATAGCAAACTTTGGCAAGTGTCTACAATGGCCTGACAGAATGCTCGAACTCTGCAACTAGCTTCTTAGGGTATGTCTATACTGCAATGAGACACCCAGGACTGGCTCGCGCCTGCTGACTCTGGCTCGCAGGGCTCAGGCTAAGGGGCTGTTTAATTGTGGTGGAGACGTTCGGGCTTGGGCTGGGACCCGGACTCTAGAACGCCACAAGGTGGGAGCGTCCCACAGCTTAGGCTCCAGCACGAGCCCCAACGTCTACACCGCAATCAAACAGCCGCTTAGCCCAAGCCCCGTGAGTCCAAGTCACCTGGCATGGGCCAGCCACGGGTGTCTCATTGCAGTGTAGACATACCCTTATGGAACTAATGCCAGGGAAGCCCTCCAGCAAGCAGCAGGGATGGAGGGAAATGACTTCCTAGCCAGAAGAAAAGTTTAGATCCTTCTTGGAAATGAGGGTCATATAGTTCATTCTCTCTTTTTACAGATATATAGAAGTTACAAATGTCAAGTCTTCCTCCTCCCCCATGATGCAAACCACCTCTTAGAGCCCGTAAGGCACTGGGAATGCTGGGCAGCCTCCCAGGGGATAAGCGGCCTGTTCTAGTGACTGCTAAATTTGTTCCAGTTCAGATGCAGAAAGCCACAGCCAGTGAGTGAGTGGAGCAAAGGCACTCAGCTGTCGCCGGCAAGTGAGCAGCCTGAGAGCACAGACAAAGTTTAGAACTTAGCAACTGCCAGAGGAAATCAGACCAATAGCCCATCTCGTCCAGTATCCTGTCTCCACGAGTGGCCAGCAGGAGCCGCTTCAGAGGAAGGTTGATGCTTTGCTTCCTGCAACAGGAATTTATGGGAAAGTTTCTTCTTAATCCCCATTTGGTTAAAAAAAATATTTATCCAGTACCTGAAAAAGAATGAGAGCATCCTCCCTATGAGGTGCAAATCTTAGCGTGGTGCGAGAATAAAGAGCGTGGCTGTTTCATACAGTACTACCAATGCCCCGCACAATGGCAGGCTTGCCTACTGTAGACAGGCCCTTTGCGTGGAGGGACCAGTGCTGATAAAGTGCCGCTGCATCTCCTTAGCATGAGTTCAAGGTTATCATTCTCCAAGGATCCAGTTTAAAGACTTATCTCCATATTTATTCAAGTACAGCAGGAAAAGGTACAAAAGACAGCACTGTCTGCTAGATTATTTCTCTTTCTCGCTCACTCTTTACTGACAAGATTTCATCAATTTATCACATCCCACAACAAAGGGATAAGGCATGAAATGTACCTTCAGAAGGGAAAGCGCTTATAAAACAATCAAGTCATGACTATATCATAAGAAAAGGAGACACTAGTGGACCATCTAAGGCAGAAGAAGGTGGTTATGTTGTTATAATCAACAGCTGAACTGTTTAATAATCTTTGCCACAATACTCACCAGTAGTGCTGTATTATACACCTCTACCTTGATATAACGCTGTCCTCGGGAGCCAAAAAATCTTACCGCGTTATAGGTGAAACCGTGTTATATCGAACTTGCTTTGATCCACCGGAGTGCGCAGCCCCGCCCCCCCAGAGCACTGCTTTACTGCGTTATATCCAAATTTGTGTTATATCGGGTCGCGTTATATAGAGGTGTATATAGGGTGACCAGACAGCAAGTGTGAAAAATCGGGATGGGGGTGGGGGGTAATAGGTTCCTATATAAGAAAAAGCCCCCAAAATCGGGACTGTCCCTATAAAATCGGGACATCTGGTCACCCTAGGTGTATATATTGTTGAGACATTGTGAGCACTCTTCTGAGGTTGTGCCCGTAGGACTTTGGGAAAGAGAGTTCTCTTCCTAGATGTTCAATAGCGTCACACATTTGAACCAGGATAACAATGCCGCATTAAACAAAAGGATGGATAGTGTTGTGGTTAAGGCACTAGATGGGACCCAAGAAAACTGGTGCAATTCCCAGCTTTGCCTGTGTGACCTTCGGCAAGTCACTTATTCTAGGGCAGGCCTGAACAACTTGTAAAGCGGCGAGGGCCATATTACTCCAAAGAAAACAGCTGAGGGCCGAAACCCCCTGACCCCGCCAAAACCCCACCCCCCCAGCACTGCCCAGCCCCGCCGAAATACAACCTCCCGCCCCAGCACCGCCCGCCCCGCCGAAACAAGCTCTCCTTCCCCAGTGCCGCCCCGCTGAAACAGCTGTGGGCCGAAAAGGAAGGTTTGGGGGAGGAGGTGATACTTTATTAAAAAATTTTCAATTAAAGCAAACCATTTTTTAAATTATTTTAATTTTTTTTATGAATCATGGAAAAATGAAAAACACCTGTTCCGTTGAAAGAAAACATTTGTACTTTTCATAGTTACCTTGCAAATTTAATGAGAGATCCCCCCATGAAATAAGGGGAGGGGAAAAGGGGGACAGTTTGAAGGGATTTTCTGGGGCTATGTACTAAGGGGAGGGGAAAGGGGGGCAGTGTGAAGGGATTGGATGTGACTGTCCAACACACAAACACAGGGGCCGCAGGGAGCCCGGGGGGGCGGGGGCAGTATGATAGGGGCTAGGGAGAGGGAAGGTCCCTGGACCAGGGAAGGGAGCCGGGGATTTCCTGGCTGCCCACAGACAGTTCAAACCTCACCCCCACCCCCCGATCACTATGGAGGCCGCCCTGGGACCAACCAGCGCAGTAGCCACCCCGCCCCCAACCGAAGGGGGCCTTTGGGGGGGGGTCTTGGCCCCCCCCCCCCCCCCCCCCCCCGAGCTGCGGCTCGAGCCCAGGCCGGGCGCCCCTCCTCTAGCTCGGCACTTACCGGCTCTGCCTTGTGCCCAGCGCTTCCCCGCCTCAGCGGGCCCCGGAAGCGACACACCCGCTGTATGCCAGGCAGACACGTGCGGTTCAGGCCGTTAGGGTGCTTGGAGCGCGGCGCACACGCGCAGGGCTGTGAGGAAGGGCCCCCCCAGGCAGGGGGCGAACCCAGCAGCCCCATGGCACCGCTTGCCCGCGGGCCGCACAGTGAGCCCACGCGGGCCACAGGTTGTGCAGGCCTGTTCTAGGGTCACATAAGTATTTAGATAGGGATTTTTAATATACACAATTTCTGTGATAGGGCAAGTACTTACTTTCCTCGCAGTGTTTTGAGGATTAAACAATGTTTATGTAATGCTTTAAGGACAATAAATATGATTATTTATAATGGAATATCCACCCATTAATTTCACAGTGTATGCTATCCATCAAACTTTAAGCCCAGAGTCCTTAGGAAAAGAACATCCTTATAAACATAATCA